AAAAAGCAACAATCACCTATTATCCTTTTCTGTCTTATCAAAGGAGATGTATCTGCACGTGCATTTCCAGTAAAAATTGATAAAGAAGAAACCATTGGTGAGTTGAAAGATGTCATAAAGGAGAAAATAGTTGTACCCGTTGCAAAAGATCTCAAAATCTGAAAAGTCGAGATACCTGATGATAATGATGAAAAGTTGGCAATCTTAAAGAAACTATTTTTGCCATATATAATTCATTTTTTTACCATCAAAGAGATTATAAAGGTTGTAATTATTTCGAGTATGTACCCTTCATATATTAGACAAGATAATTTTGATAGTGAACAAACAAGATTTGCTGGAAAAAATATTCTGTATCTTTACAGAGATCGAGTTCACGATAATGAACAGGTACGAAATTACTTTTAAAAAATTAATTCGTTGACTTTTAAAGCTACTTTAACAAATTTTTCTAACGATAAATATCCCTTTTATTCCAGGTAATACTGATAGCTATATACGAAAGTTTCGGAGACATCATTGATTTTCACTAAGGCTTATTCGAGAGACTCAATGTGAAATGGGTGTTAGCGCGCTTGATTTTTTTACAGGTAGAGGATCTGGTTTTTATAATTCGATATTTATAGTATTATTCATAATTCAAAATAGTTTTTATTTCTTATGACTTCATATATTAAGTTGACTTAATGAAGAATTTCTGAGCTTCACGGGCATTCTCTAAATGAATGTTAAGTGTAGTAAGAAATGTGGAAAATTTTGGAATGTGGTCACGCATGTTTAAATGAATGTTTTGAGTGTCAAAACTTTCGACGCCACAAGATAAACCTGAAGACTAAGAGCAAACAGAAGAAATCATCCCTATTGAAAGGACAAAGCACGGAAATGTAGACAGTTATAGGTAATGATGCGATTCGATATATTTTTATCATTGTATCCATTAACACGAAAACCAATTCACCACCGACTTCTGTTATGATAATCTGATGGTGCAGCTACTAGGATTTTGTTACAATGTCAAATTACCAACCTGGATCTATAAACACCATTTTAACGCTGGCAACATCACATGCTTTACACCTTTTCTATTTTATTGGTAATTTATACTGACATTAATGAGTTTTGGAGAAATTTTTTGCAACTTCTGGGAATTCTTTGCTTTAATATATATCTATTGCTGGTATAAATTTTGAAATACTGTTGTATGTTCAGATTCTGCTAAAATAATTTCGCTTGTGTCTGCATCTTATATTTTTACTGTTTTTAGTAAATTGTAAGTATTTACTTACATAATCAGGATTTAAAAAATATAATAACCTATTAAAGAAAATTATATTTGATAAATCAATATTTTTTTTAAAAAACTTATAATAATAATAAATGGATTCTAAAATAAAAAAGCTAAAAAATTTTAGTAATGATTTTACATTTGTATTTCTGAGTATATGGGAAGTTTGCTAGGAAAATGGGGCTCTGGAAATTTTTTTGATTAAAATTAAGATTTTATTACATTTTAATCTAATAATATCAAAAACTAAAATGCAATAAAAAACAAAATTTTGTTAAAAAATTCATAGAGTCCCATTTTCTTAGCAAACCTTTTATATAAGGTAATTTTTTATATAAAATTTTAATAATTTTGTAAAACTTTTAGAGATTTTAATGTTTTACTAATATAATACTTATTTGATATTTTATGTTAAAATAGGAAATAGAAATCATTGTTAAGTTCAGAGCAATCTTGACATTTTCTCAAAATTAAAGATTTCATTGATTAAAGATCACATGTATGAATAGAGAAACACAATAATCACGTGATTGAAAAATTTTCATAATGTATAGACATATATTGTCTTTTGAACAAATAATTTAGTATTTATATTATTATAAATAAATTAAAAAACATTTATATTTTCTATTTTAAAAATAAATTATTTATAAAATAAAATAAAATTAAAATAGTTAAACTTCTTTGTTAAAAGCTAAAAAAAAAGCAGATAAATCTCTAACTAATGTTAATAAAATACAGTTATTTCTCTTTATCTCATACCTTTTAGACCATTAAATGATATGATTATAAAAAAAAATGATTATCATAAAAATTTTATTATATCATATAAAATTTTGATTTAATGTAATTATAAAAATATTTTATTACTATAAAAATATATTTTTTTAAAAAAAACAAACTCTGTTATCTGTTATCATATTTCAAATTTAAGTTAAATAAATAATTTTTAATTTATTTTAGTATATACACAAAAAAAAATATAAAAATTAAATATATATATATATATTTTTATATTTTAATTAGATTGTAAAATTAATTATATTAAAACATACTAATTATTAAAATAAATGAATATTATTATCTAGAGCTCTGAATAAATCAATTCAATTCAAGTCAATCAAATTACTTAAACTGAAAGGATCAGGTCAAGTCAAACAAAAATTTGACCTAATTTTAATTTTTATTTAATCTGATCTAATCAAATTATTCAAGAACAATAATTAATTATTATTCAAAAAAAATAATAATAAATCATTCTAATTGAATGATGAAATATTATTTAAGAATAATAAAACTATCATTCAAGAATAATAAAACTATCATTCAAGAATAATAAAACTATCATTTAAGAATGATTAGTTAACCTGAATTTTATCAGATCAGATCAAATCAACCTATTAACCTGACTTGACATTAATCTAAAAATCTACTAATCTAATCAGAATTTTTAGGTCAGGTCAGGTAAATAGATTAACCTAATTTGATTTAAAGTTCTATTATTATCTCTTAAAAAAATTATCAAATTTAGTTTTATTGTTTTAAAATAAATACTTTAGTTTTAATAATTTACAAGTATTTTTTAAAAATACAGTATAAATTATTAATGCTAAATACTAGATCATTTTACTATTCAAAATAATTAATAATTATTTTAAATATTTTAATTTTTTATCATTTGATATTATTATTACTTTTTTATTTAAAATATCACTCTTATTTTTATTTTCATTATCTTCATTTTATAATAGATTAATAATTTATTCAATAGTAAAACATTTTTTAATTAAAATATTATGATTAAACAATTAAGATAATTTTGTAAAACATCTATTTTTAATAAAAAAAATCCATATTAATTTCATCTAATTTATCTGTTTTATTATCTAATTTAAGATCTTATATATTAAAATCATTTATAATATAATCAGAAGATAGTAATATATTTAATTTAATTTAATAGTTTTAAAATAATTAATTATGTAATATTCTTCTATGCTTTAACAATATAATTAATTTTTTCTTTAACATTTAATTTATTACTAAATAAAATTATTGACTAAATTATTAAATTTATAATAAATATTATAATTAAATAAAATATTATAAAAATTTATTAAACTTATATTTATCGATTTATTCTACTATTAAATTCATAAATTATATAATTATAAACTCTCTTTATAGTTAATTTTAAATCTATAAATAATATTTGTATTTATAAATTATAAATAAGCTATAATATTTAATAAAAAATAAATATTTATTGAAGGGGAAGATTATGATAGATCAATTCAAATGGGTTTATAATATAATTACAGGAAATAACTAGTACTTAGCATAGATTTATTTTTGATTTACTTTGTATCTTTTTATTTATAAATTTAATAAAGTTACTGACAGTGTCACATCGTTAAAAAAAATAAAATAAAATAAACAATCTCAATATTAATAAAATAAATATCAAGTTAAATTAATAGATCTTTTAGTAAGAATAATAATAGAATCAGAAAGGTATATACTGTAAAATGAAATATTTAATATTTTGTATTTTGATATAAGAATAAAAGATTTTTCTAAATTAACTTATATAGAGTTTAGATTAAAAAGAATTAAACAATATCAAAAATATTTTCTAACTTGTTACAGATATAGTACCAGAAGTTTTAATTCAACAATTTTTTCAAATTTTTGATGATGATCTTTATTATGTGAAACTGATCAATAAAATTTACAATTTTGTGTAAATTTATGTAACTAATAGGAGTTAAATATAGAATAATATCATACAATATTTTTTTTTGAATATTAATATTGTTATAAAGAAGAAAATGATATAAAAGCTAAGAATTTATCTGTTTCTTTATTATAATATAATTATTTTACTAATCATTTATCATTCTTTAATATTTTCTGATAACTGATAATATGATTTATATTTATTAATAACTCATTTAGAAATAAAGCTCTGAAGGTTTCAATTCAGTCTAGATTAGATGCCAATCTGTATCTAAACTGAAAATTTCAGTTTAGTTTAGTTTAGATTATTAATCTTAAAAATGCCAATCTGAGTTCAAACTGAACTGCAGACCAGTAAAAATTTGAACTGAACCAGAATTTTTAGATTAATCTGAAATTACAGTTTGATTATATAAGGAATCTGCAATTTATATGCAAAACTTTAGAAGAATTGCAAAAAATTGCGATTTTTCTTTGAGGTTCATGAAAATTTGTGAAATTTGATAATTAATCACAAAAATTTGCGATTCTCTAAGATTTTTGCATTTTTTTTTGTGAAATTTGAAAAGAAATTGCAATTTTTTGCGACTTTCCAAGAATTTCGCAATATTTTTTGCGAAATACTAAGAGAAATAGCAAAAAAATGTGATTCTCTAAGGGGTTCGTGATTTTTTTGTGAAATTTGCAATTTTTTGCGACTCTCTAAAAGTTTCGTGATATTTTACGAAATTCTAAGAAAAATCACAAAAAATTGCGATTCTTTAAGGTTTTCGCAATTTTTTTGCGATCCTCTTAAAGAATTCGCAAATTTTGCAATCCTTCAAGAGTTTTGCATATAATCGAATTGAACTTTTAGATTAATCTGAAATTATCAGTTCAATTCAGATTTTTTTCAGTTTGAATTAGAATTATAATCTGAAAAAATCTGAACTGAACTGAAAATTTTTAGATCAATTTTTATATAATTCAAAATTGATCTGAACTGAACTGATCTAAAAAATCTTTAGATTAATCTAAACTGTTCAGAGCAGTGTATAAAATTTAGACCAAAAGTCATATGCACAAGTTGTACTAAAAATAGAAAATTAATGCATGTATTATATAGTATTTCCATTTTTATAAATAATTTATCCATTTTTATATATAATTTATCTATTTTAGTAATTATTTGTGCACATTTTATGCTGTGTAATATGTGCACACAAAAATTTAATGTGCACATGTGCACATTGTGCACATGAATTTTACACACTGGTTCAGAGCTTTATTTAGCAGTTATACTCTCTAATTCTCTGTCATATACATCTATATACCTCTACGATTTATGTGCAAACTTTTAAATATTTATAATAAAAATGATATTAAAAGTTTTAAAAATATACTCTAATAAATCTAAATAGTTGTAATTACTTTACTCCTTAATCTCTCATTTCATAAAGCTTTAGTACTGCTTTATAAAGTTATATTTGTAATAAAACTTTGAATACTATTCAAAAATATATTCTAATC